GAATCGTACGGTGTCGAATAATTTGGTGTCGAATAAATCTGTGTCGAATCGAGCGGTGTCGAATCGTACTGTGGTCAATAGAGTATCACCCGCCCGCGAGCAGTGCCCAGTTCCCGACCCCTGGATTAGACAACAGATTGCAATAATAAAGAAATCATTTGTACAAACTAATTCATTTATTATACACTAATGTATACACACCGGTAAGTAAAAGCAATATAAAAACAAAACAAAAGCATACTATATAAAAAAACAGATAATAATATAAAACAGAACAGATTCAAGAATATAAAACTATTCAATATAGTCTGTGTATTATAAACTTCTTATAACGTATACACTATATTATATCTATTTATAAACCAATAAAAACTTATAAATTTATAAAGTAGTATAACAAAATTACTGGTCCACAAAAAACATTTGACAAATTTATGTTAATTGTGATGTATCAGTGGATTTTATGCACATGTACTTATTATAAACTATTATATACATGTACTTATTATAAACTATTATATACTTATTATATACTTATTATAAACTGTTATAATTATAAACTTATGAACTAGTATAAAATTTATTACAAACTATTGTGCCACGGAAGTTTGGTTGGCAAATTTACGCTAATTGTGATATATCAGCGGTTTTATACGCGTGATGGGCGCGTGTACTTATTCTAAACTATTGTACATACAACATTATAAAAACAAAAACAATACAACTACTTAACATATAAAAAGCATACAAATATTATTTACAGACAAACGTCCTGAAAACTCGCAAATGTAGAATTGGAACACGTGTTTTTTTTCGATAGCTTTAATTGCAGATATTTTATACGTATGCGGTTGAAACATTTAAATGTCTTGGTTTTTTCCGCATCTTGTTACATCAAGACAGCATCTCTCGCTTTCATCATGCTAATCATTACTATGGATCATGTTACATACGAACGTGCCGAAAACGCGCGAATGTATAATTCTATGTAGTTGAACATCGAAATATCATTTTGTGCTATATCATTTTTGCTAAATAATCAAAATCGTTATTGAAGAAGGAGCTATTTCTTGTCCAATCAAATGAGATGAAGCGGTGGAGTAATTAGTATTTAAAAAATCCTATCTCACGTTCGCACATCAATCAATTCTAACTACAAAGTGTTATAAACAGAAATTATTGAAGAAACTACTGAAGAACTTCACAACGTAAGTACCGAATTTGATACATATTTGCGTTTGTTTTTATCTGATGAATTGCTTATTAAATTGCTATTTATCTAATGATATATGTCATACTGTTTAGCCTATGAAGTTGCCACCAGAAGCTGAATGGAACGAGATAGAAGAAGGAGAGGATTATTTNGATTCGATCGATGGTGTTCGACCAATAGATCATCTAGAGACCTATCATGATCTGCTCCATTACGTTTGTCTCCATATTGCCGATCCAGAGGTGCGAGTGTTCTATCTGGAGCAACGGGGTGACACTCTATTGACCACAGTACGATTCGACACCGCTCGATTCGACACAGATTTATTCGACACCAAATTATTCGACACCGTACGATTCGACACG